AAGATATCCTTGTGGACTTTATGGATTGTGTCAAGCGATATTGAATAAACTGAGGCAGCGGAGGAGGGGCCAAACCATTTAAAATTTTAAAAACAACACACATATTTGAAAATAACTTCAAATTTTCAAAGCTCAGAAGATCACGCTTATCTAAAATCCTGCAATGGTGGTATTGCATTGGTTTTTTTTGTCCAGGATTTTCAAAGTTTGTTTGTTCTTGTAGTGTATTATTGAATTATAGAATAGAGTAGAAATACTTTATTGATCCCCATGGGCAAATTCTGTTGCTGCAGTAGCAAGCAGAAAGAATAAAGTAACCACTACCACAATACAAATAAATAAGAAATACAACACTAAAGTAAAAAAATCACAATAAAGTTTGACATATGCTATGATTTAAAGTGTCAAATGCTAAACATAAAAATATACAGTGAATGAGGGAAGTCCTGTAAAAATCAGTGCAGCATGTGCAAGTTGTGCAACCGCAGCAGAAAAACTGATACTTGCAAAAAACACACAGATGCAACAAAGTAAAGAGTGCTGAGAGCTCCCTGTTAAACAATGTTACTGTTGTGGGCAGGATGGATTTCCTGTGTCGGTCCTTTTATACATTATACACAGCTACATTATAATATTTTGTCATATTTTACAAGATAGCCTTTTCTGTCTCAGTATTACCATTATTTTTATTGGTCTTAATCATTAAGTAAGCTGTACCTGTGCGATAAATGTAATTGTGTAAAAAAAAAAAAAAAACAGTCTCATTCTGAAATGTAGTAAAACAAATGTAAGTAGCATCAAATGAAATTACTCAAGTCAAATATTTGATTGAAATTTTGCAGACATATACTAAAATTGCTGACAGGGTTCTAAAAAGTCGTTTTGCTTTGTATATGCTTGGATTTGTTTTCACATTGGACTCAAAGCACTTAGTAAGCATAAAGTTAGATGCAGAAATTTCAGCTACAGACGTTTCGACTAGACAACTAAGGGTAGAAAAGGGGGGGAAAAAATAAAATAAAATTGCATGCTAGCACAATTTACACAATAATTCTATTATGATACAATTCTATAAACATAATTGATGACTCAAACACAAGATTTGACAGGTGATTCTAAACAACACTAAAAAAAAACCTGAACAAAACAACACAAAAAAATTCAATTTAAAGTGTTTGTTAGAATTGCAGCAGCTTAAAGATTAAATATTAAAGACACAAGTTAAACCTGAAATTCAAAATACAGCCAAATCAAATTAGATAATTCATATTTCAAGTAGATCGTCTATAAAAACCCTTCCACTGTGTTCCATTGCAGGACAGTCCATAGCATCAGAGCGGCTTTTATCGTAACTCTATAGTGTCACCTTGTGGACTGTCTCAAGAATACATGAAACGTAAAACTACACATGCAATCGCGTCAACATTTTTGCTCAAAATTCCCAGTTCTATTCTGCTTACACAGCCATACTGGTTCATTTAAACTTGTTGATATTCTGCTTAGTCATTCACATTATCTACGCAACTGAATATAGTTAAATAATGTATGCATTATTGATTCAAATTCACAGAATGTCAGCATTTAAATTAAATTCTTGACTCCACTTGACAGACCTGTGGGGGTATGTCAGATAAAAAAAAAAAGGTTAAGACCCACTGAGGCAGGATGTTTACTGAATACCGGTGGAAATGCATTTGATACGGTTGTAAACAATGGGAGCCAAAAACAATCATTAAATCTGAAAGACGATGAAGGATCATAATTATGTTACCCCATTATCTTTATTGCAACATTGTTTACAGTACAATAACTGCCAGCAACATATTAAAATATATAGAGATACAAGAAAATAGACATGAATTGAAGGACAAAAAGGTTTAAAAGCACTTTGAAAATGATTACATTTATATTTTTAATTGGACTAAAACTTTAATTGCTATTTACATTATACAAACTAGATATGAATATAGAATATAAAGGGTATACATTTATATACATTATTTATAAATGCTGGCCGATGTCAATATTTAATATGTTACTATTCAATCATACACATTTCCATAAATCACACAAAGAGGGAGACAAACAACACTAGAGGTCCTCAGAGATCATCTTATATCAGCCACTAACATAGTGTATCCCCTCATGTTGTTGCTTTGTTTATTTGTATTTTTAGTTTTTTTTGCATGTTGTGAGGTTTTGCATGTGTGCAACATTTAAAAACTGTTTCTGACACTCATTTTATTAACTTCATGGCTCGACGCAGCCAAAAACAAAACAAAAAAAAAGGTCAAACTAAGAAGAAGAAGTCGGGATAAACATAAAAACTGCATTGCTTTAACAACAACAAACACTAAGTTATGCCCCAGTGGCTGACAGAGATGATTCCCCTGCTTACAGATACATAAAGACAACCAAATATGTGGACATAATAAAATGAAAATGGATTAAAAGAGGTTCGATGTGTAACAAATAGACAGGACCATTTTCAGTTACCCATACAGCACTTAAAGTAGTCTGGTGTAAAAGAATTTATCATTGAAAATAATGAAATGTAGGCAAGTACACCAGCTCACTGACAACTCCAAATTAGTAGGTTACTGTCTGCCGAGAAGCAGCGAAGGAAGTCAGACATGATCCATCTACACCACTCGTGATATACCAACGACTAGAAAAAGACAAATGTAAGAAAAAACAATCATCTTGCATTTCATCACTGAATCAGATTCAACTGATACATCCGGATACACGTTAAACATGAAGTTTAAAACAACAGTTTATCTATAAATGGGAGAAGACAGACACTTGAATTCTGATCAGGGTTCAGGTTAAACAACACAACAAAATGCATATAGGTACAATAGTTCAAATACAGTGGGAGCCATGTTTTCTGTTTTTTTTGTTGTGTTTTTTTTTTTTTTCCCCAACAACACAGACATTTTAAAACCTCCAACAGTACATCCAATTAATTAGTCGTTGTATTTTAAAAGAACATACCAGAGGAGGGAAATAATGATCACAGGGGCGATTACAGGAACTTTAATGTTACAATTTCAAGTAATGTCTGACAACCATTGATACGCTACTAATTCATCAACTACATTAGATTGAGTAACTGCTCAAAGATTTAGTCATACGAAGGGACGTGCCCTCAAATCACATATATCAAATATGTCTTGTTTGCGTTTCACCTTATTAACGGCTACAAGAGGTTGTGCTTATTAAAGGAAAGTGCTATTGCTAACCGCCAACTATTTCAAGATTGTTATAGAGATAGACGTCCCACGTCTGTCATTTCTGTTAGGAATCAATCTCGTGCTGGACACAGAAATATTTACAGACGCCAAACTCTGACCAAGCACTTGGCCAAGTGACCCTGTTGTTGTTGTTGTTGCTGTTTTATACATGTTTTGGTTATCTCTGATTACTTCCAGTAAATGCTCAGAAACAACGCATCAAATCTTCCAGGTAACAAAAAAAACCCTCCCTGCTCAGTAAGAGGAAACACTCTTCATTTTACTCGTCTCTCAGTTCTGTACAATCCAACATTTGAGGTCTTCAGTACCATTTATAACTGTCACCTTTGCAGTAATACTGAAAAAAAGAAAGACTCTTTGCACAATACAGGCATACTTTTACATAGTGTGTAATCTGGACACCCAAAGAACCATTTAAAATGCTCTTGTTTACAAGCTGTCTCTGTGATATTTTATTGCCTCAGTTAGCATGAGCTGAAGATCGTCCCATCAGTGCATCGTCTGAGGTGTTGATCAAGTAGAGATTAATAATAAAAAATATACATCTAGATCATATTGTGTAGGAATGTTATGATAAATGTGCTCACTGTGCCACATATTCTGCAGTTTCACACCCTGCCCTATTAGATGTGAGAGTTTTAACGCCTCTGAAACGTCACATGTACAGCAGCAGCACAAGTTAGTGGAGGAGCAGCTAAAGGCAGCACACCTTAAAGGAACAGTTCAACTTTTTCTTCTTATGCTAAGCTAAAATAACCAGCTGTAGCGACATTTTCACTGTGCAGACATGATGTCATTCTTTTCAACTCGAAAGCAAGTAAGCGTAGTTCCAAAAATGCTGAACTATTCCTTTAATCGTGTCCTTCCATCTGTGCAGTAGCTTTTGCTTTTACGTTCTTCTGTTGTTGCACATAATGGAAAAAATGTAGTTATTCCAATAACTTAGAATAGTAATAATAATAATAATAGACATAACAATTATAAAAGAACTGTCTTTCAATAAATTTCATTTAACAGTTAAAAGGGAGGCGGCTCAGATTGTGCAATACAATCTAAGTGGCTGTTTATAGATTATAGATCAACATGGAAACTAAGAGGAGGCAGATGCTCAGAACCATATTTAAAGACAGCAGCTCTCTACACTGTCACTTTTCTGTTATTTTTCTAACATCCTTCTCACAAGGCACAGCCTCCACGTGTCCCCATCGATCTTTATGTGCCCGGCCTCTCATCGAATTCACTGTCAGCTTCCCAAGAAAGTGTACTGGCCTGGATCTGCAGTCGCTGTTTGGCAGGATGTACAGTACAACATAACCTCATCAGAGTGAGAGTGTTTGAGAACAGACAGACTTCCTCAACTTCACACTCTGTGGCCAATATTCTCCAGTGGAAAAAGAAAAAAAAAGATAGGGCATCTTCAACATCAAACATGATTCAAAGTAAAAACAGTAAAATTACAACACTGATCTAAATCAACAATATAAAACCTGAAAAAAAAAAAAAAAACATGATGGAAGGTGATGTCTAGTGACCACTGCTGGCTTTACTGGTGCCTGATGTCCAGTCAATGATGATAAAGCTGAGGCTCATTATCATGAACAGGAAGCCAATCCCAGCGAAACAGGCGGCCTGAGAGGGAAACAGAGAAAGAAAGTTAAAGAGAGAAACAGAGAGAAATTATCGGAATTATAACAAATTTAATGACAATTAAGTTAAATGTTTCCACATTAAATTGTTAAACACAATATGTGATTGATTGTAGACAGACAAGTTTGGCAGAGTTGCTTTACTCATGAGGGAAACAGGACTTTTGAGTATAAAACTATCAATATTTGAGAGTTTTGAAAATCAATGGCGATGAATTAAGCAATTTCGGTTTCTTTTCATAAACACATAAATGTACGGAGCCCCGGAAGGGACATGGAGAAAGAAAAAAAACAGGGAGAGGAAAAAAAAAAAATGAGCCCCGGAAGGGACATGGAGAAAGAAAAAAAACAGGGAGAGGAAAAAAAAAAAATTTAGGTATCTTTTGCGAGATCCCGAGAAAGTTACGCGAGAGCTCGCAAAAGATACCTCTATTTTTTTTTTTCCTCTCCCTGTTTTTTTTCTTTCTCCATGTCCCTTCCGGGGCTCTGTACTTTTCAGATGTCTCTCGCTTATGTGAAAACCGTGCCTCTTGCTAAGCACTGCTTGAATGTCTTTATAGTTTAGGCCGATTTCAAAATAAAACTCAATAAAACTCTCGTACGTGTGGGTGTCCTCCATTGTCATTTCTCCATACTTCCAAAAAAAACCAGAAGTATATATACCTATAGTTTTGCGAGATCTTGTAAAAGACACCTATATATTTTTTTCTCTCTCTCCCTGTGTTTTTTTGTTTCTTTTTTCCATGTCCCTTCTCGGGCTCTGTATAAATGTGCTTGACAAGGATTTCAGAAAAATGTATTCAACAGCCCCTGAAAACCTTGTTTCTGCTGACCCTTTTGCTGTGGTTCAACTTCTCACCTTTGTTGCACTTACGAAGAATTTTACTCCAGTTTGTGTCTGTAAATCATGACATCAGCTTTGGGTTTGATTACAGAAGCAACAGAGCACATTTCTGCACATCCAGAGGTGAAACAGAGATGGCAGCAGAACACTGCCTTTCAGTCTTGTGTTAGGCTGTCTTTAAATTATTATTTGTCTTTTCATATAGAACTGTAACGTTGATATGTACGGAGACATTTTACAGTTTACATCCCTCTTTCATTCTGACATTAAGACATCAAAATCTCATCTCATTTCTCAACTTTCAGCTTCCTCATCTCCTCTGTCCAGCGTCCTCCTGCCTGTGACCCAGAAATCGATCTTAGCACGCCATCTTGTAGGATGTCTCAATTCTTAAACTACATTTCGAGGAGGCTTCCTGGAGAAGCTATGAGGTGAGGATGCACAGGCGTATCCTCGCTGTATCATTTGCCTTTTGGCACCAGTGATGTATAAAAGAGGCAAGGCTCACAACTGCAATATGCAAACCATGTCAGGAGCAGGAATGGAAAATATGTGTGTTGAATATATATCGCTCCATCATATTATTTATCACTCTTGATTTTTATGGTACTCTTTTGTGTGTCTCGCCTCTTTTATACATCATGGCCTTGGTGTGTGTTGAAGCGGATGATGCCGCTGTGCCGCACGTCATATTTTATTGACTTCACTGTAAAACTACAGCTCCGAGGCAAGAATGTCTCATTTCGTTAGCCGCCTGTTGCCTCGACTCCTCTCTCCTCACATCTCTGGTGGGAAGGCGAAAGACGCGAGTAAAAGAGTCGAGGATGGGAATTAAGGATGCACAAACTGAAAGCTGACAAGGGGGCCAGCGCAGTTTACCTTTAACCTTTTGCGTGAAATTCTGTTGTAATTAGTGATGAATGGATTCTTGAGTCACGGCCATGTTTGGCAACGTCCCACTGACCTTTGACCAAAATCTAGTCAGTTCAGCCTTTTAGTAGGCTGAGTACAAGTGAATGTTTGCGCCAAATTGGACAAAATTCTCTGGATCTGTTTGTGAGCATTTGCGCTACACAATGATGGAACACACTAATAAACTCCAGTCAGTTTTCTTTAGTGTATAAAGTAAGTAATGGCTATAAAGGTACAAAACTACCTCAAACATATTTTGGACATTTCCAGTTTTCCCTCACTCCCCATACTACTTCTATCCTTGTTCACAACCTCGTGACCTCCTGCAATTCTCTTCTTTTCGGCCTCCCACATAAATCCCTCCATAAGCTTCAACTGGTTCAGAATTCTGCTGCCCAGATCATCACTAAAACCCCCTCCATCAATCACATCACTCCTGTTCTTCAGCATCTCGACTGGCTCACGTCCACATCAACTTCAGAATCCTACTGTATTCCTTCAAGGCCATCCACAACCTTGCCCCCCATCCCTGTCCGACCTCATCCACATCGTCACCCCATCCCACTCCCTCAGATCCGCCTCCTCCTTTCATCTAACAGCCCCTCCTGCCTGCCTCATCACCATAGAGGGCAAGGCATTCAGCTGCTCTGCTCCCCGGCTCAGAAACACCCTACCACCTCACTTGCAGAACCTGGACTCTCTCTTCAAAAAAGGACTCAAAACTCACCTCTTTCAGCTCACCTACCACTGCAAGCCCAATGAGACGACGCTTTTACTGGGTTTTAGATTTCTGTTCCTACCTCTTGTGTGATGTTTTATCTTGTTTTAACCGTCTTGTTTCAACTCAGTGTTTGGTGACCTTGAGTTCTGTGAAAGGTGCCTTTCAATATCATGTGTTATTATTATTTCTATATTACGACTCCTTATTATTTTTTAATAGTAGATTTTTGATACTTATAAAAACCTACCATGATAAAACCTCCAAAACGGAGAACTTAAATGTCAGTCCAGTGTTGTTCAGCATTATACTCTAAGTTTTCTTCAAATGCACCCACTCGGAATTAGTGGTGCATCTCAACAGAAATATGCAATAATTTTCTGCCATCCTGATGATGCTCACCAGGATTTTGGGCACAGAGCGCAGTGGCTCTTCTTCTTTGGGTACAATACGAATGTAGAAGACAGCGGGGAAGATGAAGATGAGACAAGGGGCAGACGTGGCACCTGGAAAGCACAAAACACAAAATTATTCATGAAACTCGCTCTCCATGAATTCTCATTCCCTTCAGTTCTCATTAAGTCCTGCAGTTACTCAGACAGCGCCATGGTGATGAGATGGAGGTTGGCAGAAAATGGGGAGAAAAAAAAAGTTTGTTTATATTTATTTGTTCCACTGCCAAAAATGAATATTGATGATACAAAGCTTTTGAACTTTATGTTTAAAGCGTGGATGAGGCTGGTGGATTCGTTTCGCTACCGATCAGTCTGCAAAATTAGCAGACAGTTTGAAAGATCTATTTCGACATATTTACTGCTGTTCTCAAAATCCTAATTATTATAAGTGACAATGTTAGATATTGTGCAAATCAGTTACCTCTGTGATGGGCAGGCTCTTGTCTGCCATACACACTTCATAAAATCAATTTGTGACTGCAGTTGAGTGTCAATCTTCAGTAGCTTCACGACTCAAATTCATTTTTCCCGGCAGCTCCCTTGAATTTTCTTTCCACTGCTTACTAACGCACTAAAAATCTCAACTGTAAGTGAGCACTTTTATAGGAAGTCTGTCATTCTGCATGTCTTAGCTGCATCTGTGTGTTTAAGAAAAGCCTTAATAAAAGCCCACTTATTATTATACTTAGTATTTTTAGTACTGTCCTATTGACCACAAAGCAAAAAAAAAAGTCCAACCTCTCTCTCTTCTTTACATTTCCTTGGATCCAAAGAGTACCTGTTTTTGATATCTGCATTTGTGAAGCAGCTCTCCCCCATTTTTATTTTATCTCTTCCATGTAAGCTCAGTCATCTGTAATCATTTTTCGCTTTTTTATAAAGAAATATGACTTTGTTCCAAGTATATTCAGCTTTGATGTGAAAAATGTAAATGACTGCAGTTAAAAGTAATAACGTAAAAAAAAAAACGTGTTCACTTTGTAAATACAAAATCATGGCCATGTATGTGCTTCTTATACATTTTTTTTTAAACATACATTATCGTGTTCTGTTAAACTGAAATAGGTAACTTTTCAGCAAACATTTGCTTGTTGACACATCCAGCAGTGATGGAGCAACATTAAAACTCATTTGCAGTTGTATTTCTGGCCACATGACAAATATAAGACCAACATTCACTCTCTTTCTAGCTTTGTTTTTGGACTCTTTTGGGGTTTACCAACTCCTGAGGGGAATAAAGTATCTGGTCTCTCAGCTTGCTAACTGTGTCTGTCTCTTATTTGGAGTTCAGCACATAATGTACTGCGGTTGTGTAAATTTTTTAATGTTTTTCAAAGAAAAAAGGAACAAAAACAACGCTTTTATAATAATGAGAGTGGGCCAAAGCTAGAGTCAATGAACTGAAACACACTATCAGCATCACACATCATTTCCATAAACCAGTGGAATGATAATTCTCTGTAGGATTATCGCCACAAGAAATTCCTGTCACATTCTTACATTATTTATTCAGTTAAAAAGTATAGATTACAATAAAGAGATCAATTAACACTACTCAGTTTTTACAATGTGCCTCGACTAGTAGCTGAGCCTGTAAATGTTGGTGCTTTGCAGTGTAAACCCTCCCTTGTGACAGGGTTGGTCCAACCTACCAATGACCCCAAAGATGCCCAGGATATTGGGGGCAAAGATGACCAGCAGGTTGATGAAAGTGAGCAGAACGAAGGCGATGGCGATGTGACGAGGCCAGTAGAAGGTCTTGTTGGGAAACACCATCTGCTGGATCGCTCTTCGTACCTGGTCAGAACAAAAAAAAAAAAAAAAAGATTTTCATTGCTTCACTGTGTTTCAAAACACCACAGACGCACTATTTGGGGGATCTGGTATGTAAATTGTGAGTTCCTTGTACTTACAGGAAAGAGTACGATCGGTACAGTGAGTGTGACGGCAGTGAGCACGGCCACACGCACACACAAAATCAGAGTGTCGTACGGATCGATGCGGCTGTAGGTGTGGAGCAGCTCCGCCTCCACTTCACCTGGAGGAGATGAAAACAGGGAAAAAAAAGGGCGAGTCTGAGGATAATGAGCCAATAGGAAGAAACAACACTCCCCAAAAACCAACTACAAAAGTTTGCATGTCTATGTACTCATATAATATACGAGTATAGAAATAATGTATTTGTCAATTAAAGTATATCATTCTGTAGCTAAAATGACTAATTTATAATATGCAATTATTTAGATTTACAGTATGACCACTAGAAGGCATAAATAAACCATGATGCTTTCCAGCCCCACAGAATTTTTGTGTTTAATGATCCAGAATACAACACTAACAACAATTAACTTGAAAGCATGAATAAAGAAATTAAGCAAAATGAGGCAGGTGAGATAGATAGA